TAAATTATTGCAAAAAGTAAAATTTTGTTGAATTATTTTTTGAAAAATTTTTGTACGAGTGATTGTCGGGAAGAGTTCTATTTATATATTATATTTTTATTTATAAATTAAACAAATAATTAATAATATTTTTAATTTTATTTTTTATAAGATAGAAATGTCAAAAAAAGACAACCTACATCTGATTATATTTTAAAAAAATATATACCACATCCAGGTGAATCTAAAAAAGAAAAAGAAACAAGATTACAAAATAAAAGAGCTGCTAAAAAAAGATATTATAATAAATTAAAAGAACAATCTGAAAAACAAGGACTTTCAAATAGAACAAGATCTCAAACTTCACCAATAGCATCAAGAACAAGATTAAAAACAAGTTCAAAAGAAGCTGCTAAATCAAGACAAAAAAAATATAGAGCTTTTATAAGTACAAAAAAAAAGATGATAAAAAATGAAAGAATAGAGAAATACAAAAAATAGATATAAAGAAAAAAAAAGAAGAATTAAAACAATTTTTTAAAATAGAACTTTGTAGTTTAGATGAATATAAGAAAAAAAATAAAAGATAATAATAGAGATAATATTAGAGATAATAATAGTGATAATGTTAGTAGTGATGATGATAGTAGAGATGATGATAATAATAATATTAAAAGACATAGATTTAAAAAAATAAACATTATTTGTAAACATTGTTTTGCCTTAAAATGGAAAGAAGAAAAAAAAATTTTGCTATTTAAATAGAAAAATCCAATTAGTACAACTTAAACCACCACTACCAGCAATAGAACTTTTACTTACAAAAGATGATCTAGAATCTAACAAACTTTTTATTTCTCAAATAAGAGCATATAATTAAATATTTGCTTTTACAACAATTGGTAATGAAATATTAAATAAAAAACTTGCTAATGCTAAAAAAAGAATTTATACTTATAAAATTCAAGAACAACATTATCATTAGCATAGTTCTTTAATACTTGAATATTTGAAGGAAAAAACCCTGAACCAAAATTGCTCAAATATATTTTTATAATGAGGATAATTTTGATAGTTAACTTAATAGAAGATATAAAATAATAAGTAAAAATAAGCCATTAAATAAGAATATGTTAAGTGATCTTCAATTTGAATTATTTAATAATAATCTATTTGTTCAAATATTTAAATATGCAAGAACTGAGAAAAAAAAATCAAATACAAATATATTTTATATAGCAATACATAATACTCATAGTAAAGATATAAAAAATTATAATATACTAATAGCTAATGAAATAGCTATAATATATAGTTATGAAAGTGATAAAATAAAACTAAATAAAAGAGATATTATTATTAAAAGGTATAATAATATATTAATAAGAATATTAGAATTACATAGTGCTTATGACTCTTTACAATATCACTTATTATTTCTATTTAGAGAATATAGTTAGTACAAAGACATATTAAGAGCAAATATTTAATAAAAAGAAATTGAAGATAATAAAGATGAAAATAATAAAATACAAAAAGAATTTCTTAAGATAATTGAAAAAGAAGAAGAAATTGTTAATCAATTTGAAGATAAGCAAATTGCTAATCAAGTTGCTAAAAATATTATTAAGGATTTTAATGCTAATTTAACTACAGATATGAATAAAAATCAAACTATAGAATTTTGGTGACAAAGATTTGATAATTATATACAAAAAGCTCAAGAAGAAATTCAACAAGAAAAACATTAACAAAAAGAAATTCAACAAGAAAAAATTCAACAAAAAGAAATTATTGAAATTGAAGACTCTCAAAAAATAAAATCTGTTGAATTTGATACTTTATTACAAAGATGTTCAGGTATATCTAATATTTTAGAAAATATAACTTTTAAATCTTCTACAAATATAAGCATTAGTGAAATAAGTAAAGAAAAGGAAAAATCTACAGAAGAAATTGAATCTCAAACTGAATTAGAAAAAGATAATAGTAATAATAATATATTTAAAACTCAGCAAAAAAAATAGATAAAGGAAAAAGCAAAGAAATTATTGAATCTGAAAATAATGATGATGATAGTAATAATAATGATAATAATAATAATAATAATAATAATGATAATAATAATGATAATGATAATAATGATGATAATAATAGTGATAATGAAAATGATGATGATAATGAAAAAGAAAATTATATACTACTTCTGAATCTAAACAATCTTATAATGAAGATTTAGAGTTATCAAAGATTCAACAAAAAAAAAGAAAAACAGTAACTATTAGAGAGTTTGTGGTATATAGATTTATAATTAGAGTCTCAAATAGAACAACAAGTATATTATATCATTCAATAGGATTATTCTAACAATATATCCCTTAATATGTAGACCAACACAGGCAAATTTGCCTGTGTTTTTGCACTTTTTTAGCTCTGATTCACTTTTTTAAAATGCTAAAATATTTAAATAAAACTTTGCACAATTATATTT